GGGTGCGACCAGGCTGAAGTGGAAAGGAGGATGGCTGAAGAGGAAGCCACTATAGCTCTTGATCGTGACGAGGGCGGGTTCAAATCTGGAACGGTCTTCCATTCGTTCCACCACCAGGCCATGTCCCCTATCTCTGGGAAGGCTCTGCTTGCAGGGTATCTCATGTTGTGGCTCAAGAGGTGCGTAATCCCCACTCACTCTTTCGAGGCTATTCCCGTAGAGGTCGTGTATCCTGCGGTTTGTTTAGCCCACGGGAAGTCCTATTCCCTGGTATCGGCGATGATAGCGTGTATTCACCGGGGGCTCCGCACTCTGACGGCCCAATTCTGTCGTGTGTCGACTACCAACGAGGGGAATGGAGAGGTCATCAGGACTCCCAATCCCAGAGTAGGGCTGCCATACACCTACTTGATGGCGTGGTTTGTTTACCACTGCGAGTGTTTGATGAGCGCTCCCGCGACTCTTCAAGGAGACATGTTCGTTCCGTTCCTTGAGCGTTTGGAGAGGTGTTCTTGGAAGTGTAAAGACATTCCCGATGCGCGGAAGACGCTCTCCCACTTTGTCCACTATAATTTTCGTCGCTTCTTCCCCTACTTCAGCGGAGGAAAATACGGCGAGTCTCTTAGGGATGCACTAACGGCGGACCATCACTCGGCTCTTCCTCGCGGCGCATTCCGATGGTTGGTAAACATTCGGCCGGGGTATGGTGGACGGAGCTCGGGGATGGTTCTGGACCCATGCTGGTGGCACCCAGGCTCATTTCGAACTACCCGCAAAGAATCGTGATTTGCACCATACGCTCCTGTACTGTCGCTGGTATCGGGGCGCCAGTGCTAACCCCGCTGGTTTCTGGTTCCAGAGCTCATGTCTGGCGGAGCGCGATCGTCCTCTCAGGGGGGTTCTCCGTTCTTCAAGGCGAAGGGGTCATCAAACCGCTATGGAGCTGTTCTTAGAGGATCCATTGGAGGACCCTGAGAGTTTTGACGTCGGTTTAGACGAATCTGAGGCTCCCGAGGTTCGAGTTCCTCCTCTTGGTCCTTCGTTGGATGCCCTTTGTGAACCACGAGAATCTGAACACCCAAGACAGGTCCAGAGTCCGACAATTGGATAGATGGGGACACCTCTTCTGTCTCCGAGTAGCTCGCTTCTCTCGAAGCGTCAGCGGGAGGTAGCGACCGAGAGTTCCCGAGCGGAGGCGGCCAAGAAGGCCCGTCGTGATGAGACGGTGGAGACCGTCCGAGAGGCGGAGGGTCAGGAAAACGTTCCTCCGGTAAGTATCCCCGGAGCGGCGGTGTCTGGGTCTGGAGCTGCACTGCCCGCCTCTTCTGCTGCATCGGGTGCAGTCCCGGCGACTTCGAAGGGCGCTTCTCCACAGTCTGGCGTGAGGCCACCGACGGGAGTTCCAGCGGTTTCTGCATCCGCAACAGGAGGTAGTCTTTGCAACAGTATCCTTGATCGCAACGTTGGTCTTACACCTTTTAACACTTGTATTGGGGGCCTATGCAGGTGTGGTTGAGAAAGTAATCTCCATTCCCTCTGACGAAGAGGGGGAGGCTGGGAATGAAGAGGGGCTTACAGGCTCAGGTGAGCGTAAGTTTTAACATTACTCATTTTACCATACCCCACTGTTAATAGGGTCCCTTTCGAGGGGCTTCCGTTAACCCTCGTCGTGCATTCGTAGCTGATCCTGTCTAAGAGGCCGCTGGCAAAGAGGATCTTCCCTCTTGGGCGAGTCGCTCATCTGGTGAGACGGGCGAATCTGAGGAGGATGATGACGTCTCGGTTCATGAGGCATTGTCCAGCGAGGAAGAGGTGTTGGCTCGTGAGGATGCGCCTGGCCAAATAGGGGGATCCCCTGCTCCAGCGGCAGTGCCGGCTGGGGATCGCTCATCAGTGCGAGAGTCTCCGCTTCGAAGGGAGGCTTCTACTCTGCAAGTGACCACTCCCTTGTCGGCGGCGGCCGTTGATGCTGTGACCGTTGCTCCGAGGGCGTCATTGGTCATACCAGCTTCGGCGGCGCCAACCCTTACTTCTATGGTTATGACCACTGGCACTTCAATTGGGATTTCATCCACGGCGGAGGAGGCCGTCCTCTCTCCCTTGGAGCGTGAGCGAAGAAGGAGTGCGGCGCGATCCTTGGCTGATTTTTAAGACACTCTAGCCGCATGCATCAGGCTTGCTTTGGAAGAGAATTGTCCTTTCGAGAGTTTCGAAGAGGATATCGACTACGTCGTGTGCTTCTTAATCAAGAGGCTTGGCCAGACTGCGGCGATGCCCTACTTCCAGCGTAAGGAGGAAGTGAAGGAAGCGGTTCAACGGTTGCTTGCTCTTCGCGCGAAGAGCTCCACTCTCGTGGATCTTGCAATCGGTGAAGTCAGAGCAGTGGTGGAAGAACGCGATCGCCGCCTGGACGAGACCATGTCGCTGGAGGCGAGATTGTCAGCAGAGTTGGAGCAAGCCAAGGCTGAGGATGAACGAATGGCCTTCGAGCGACAGAAGGCCGATAACCGCGTCTCTCGCTTGTCTTCGGAGGTAGAGAATCTGAAGCGGTTATAGCTAAGGCACAAGCCTCATTGGCCATTCAGGAGAAGGCTCATGAACAGGCGGTCAAGGAGTTGGAAAGCATCGAATCTCGTCGGCAACTGACGGCTAACTTCGTTGAGGAAAAGGATCAAGCCCATAAGGAGGTCAAAGAGACCGTCCGAGACTTGGCCTCACGCACTGAGGAAGATCTTCGCCAAGAAATCCTGCGGAGGCTAGAGGTTCGTCATGCTAGGGAGATTAGTGAGGCGGAACTGCGGTTGAAGTCCTTGTAATTCGCCTCTTTTTATCTTTGATTGCCCGTTGTACTAGGATTTCTTTCTATGAATGAAACTATCTCGTACATTTTTTTTTATTTTTTTTTGTTTACTGTTACCTCCGTGCATGCTCCATTTCTCTTCTAACATGTGTTAGCTGAAGCATTAGCTGTGAGGGGCGGTATTCAGCTGTCGGCGAATTTCAACCGTAAGCTTGTTTCCTCTGCGGGCGGATTTCGTCCGCAGGCGGATTTGGAATTGACTCAAATTCCAGACCGTAAGCTTGTTTCCTCTGCGGGCGGATTTCGTCCGCAGGCGGATTTGGAATTGACTCAAATTCCAGAAGGGTAGTCAGTTTCGACCTGCGGGAACCTCAACGGTGAATTCGCCATCGAATAGGCTCCACTTTCGGTGGGCCACGTATTGGTTTGTGATTACGTCAGTCGAGAGAACGTGGGCACGTCGCTCCGTATTGAATGCGGCGTAGTGGGGTTGTTCGTCTCTCGCGCCCGATTCGGGCCGTTGTTGAAGATCGTGCTTAAGAAAAACCGTTGGATCCTGGCCGTCCAGGTAAGATCCGATTCGTTCGGCCTTACCCTTCAACTGTGTTAGCCTTGAACGGTCTAATCAAGCATTGAGTAACGGCCTAGAGTTCTTAGGGTATTTAATACCCTTACTCTCTATCAAGAGGACCTACAGCCTTCTCATCATCTTCCTCAGAGTAAACCCAGATCTTCCCTTCCTCATACCCCCGATGGCGCCGAAGGTGAAGAGGGTCGCCTCTAAGAAAAGGAAAGAACCTTCTTCCTCGGGCGCTGCTGAGGCTTCTGCGGCCGAAGGTACTCTTTCGTCCTGGCTCTCGCGCGGGTTGAACAAGTATTCTTCCCTTGACTCCTCTCTATGTTGTTGTGTTTTACAGATCGAGGGGAGGTGCCGACTGCCGAGGAGCCTGCGGCCGAGCCTATCTTGATTTCAGATGACGATTCTGAAGGTCGTGCGACCCCCGTCGCTTCAGACCCTGCTCCCGAGCCGGGAGATGAACCCTGCCTTGAGATCCCGCCCATTACGGCGCTCGCTCCGGGCCAAGAACCTGCTCCCTCCGAGTCCTTGTCCTGGCAGGCTCGCATCGAAGAGTTCGAGAGCGCTGTGAGACAGGTGATTTCCCTTGTCGGACTCGGCATGGGCAGTTTTGACAG